AGAAAAAGTGGCTTGTATGTAGTTCATGATTTTAAATCTATTTCGGAATCCTCTTTGCTCGCATAGTTAACCTTGGTCCGACGTCCTGCGAAACCTGTTGATCTGGAAGGGAGAGCATGCAGAAGGAAAAGAGCAAACAAATTGAGCGATAGTTACCAATGTCGTGTAGCCCTTTTTTGTTTATCAACACGGTTCTTCTGGTCTCCCAGGGATTTTGGAAAACAATGGTATGTAGTTCATGATTTTAAATCTATTTCGCAAAGAATAACCACGCAAAGATGTTGAGGAGGAGTGGTTTAAGATTGTTTATATGTTTGGGTCCCAACTTCTCTGGATCAGATACTGTGCGACTCTCCATCGAGGTTACAGCGTGCCGGAATTTTAAGTCAAGGATCATTAGGACAACACATCCATTATTTCTGCCCTCATACAGAAGCAGTTTGACGCTAATTGAGTTGCGAAATCTTTACGGGCGCTGCTGATCTCCTTTCAAAACTATGCAGCGTTATCCAACATTGCTGCTTGTTTTGCGTTAGGCTTTTGCGACTGTGCATTGGTTTATCAGGCACAGTGTTTCTTTATGTAAACAACTCTTTCTGGCTTTAAAATCCGCGTCATTTCAACGGTCATGAAGGTGTTTAATAGATAAACCGATTCTATTCTACGTCAATGTTATCTGTGACTTATTTGTGACGGTATATTTTCAATATCCAGCTACTGGCATGCAAAAGTCCCATTTGACGATGGCGTTTCCGATGTTGTGGTTTTCTCTTCTCTCTGCTAAAATATCACGCGCCAAAGAGGTGAAAGCCCGATCTCGTGTAAAACTTTGGGCCAGCAGCGATGTCGGTGGGCAGACTTCGATTTACTACGCTGTAGTGAACCTCATTCCAATAACCTGCATTCACAGGACTCGTGCAATATTGAGAGATGGATTTCTGAATTTGTCCGAATCCGTAAGGAACTTTTAAGCTTTTTTTATTTATGACTTAATTTTGCTGTATAGACGGGCAAAAATGTAGAAGCTTCTACTTTTCCGCGTATTTTCAACCGTGAACGTTCAATTCAGGTCATTAGCTGTTTAAACGAGTCGAAATTCACGGGAAAGCTCATATTTAATGAGCATCAATACAGGAAACTTTTGCATTATCTTATATTCCAGAAAGTTTTTTTCCCGAGCTGTCCGTCTTGGTTACGTCAGGTCACTTTTAGTCTGCATCGTCAGCTACTGGTTCAAGATTCGATTCATAGTGTGATTGTGTGGAAGTTTAGAACAGCTTTGAGATTGTAACCGCTATCTATATCCCGTGGCGACCAGCACTGTTGTCGGGAGCACTTTCCGGGTTATTGAAATAAGGTCTATTGTTTTCAGAGTTTTCTACAACTAAAAACACTACAGAGGCTTCCTTGCTCATGCATAGGGAATACATATACTTGCATCTAGCATATCGGTTCTTTTCGAAACAGTAGAAGAGTCTATTTATTGCATCGAAGACTTGATTTTCACTGTACTTCTTTGCCAGATGATTGCAAGTTTTTGGCCGAACAGATGTGCAGAACACTACCTCAGTTAGACAAGTACAACTGTGTGAGCGCATATGTCTTTGTATATAAAAGGAAGATATATACCAATCTGACACAACAGAAACAAGACTATTAGATTCTCTTGGTTCTCTGAGCAAGGACAAGATCGTTTTTAGTCCCTACCGTCACACACCCTATCTGCCACCTGGGAACGCGCGACGTAGTCTGGCGACCAACGACCACTTGAAAAATCCTCAGAAAGGAAGGAACCGTGAAATACGAAAAGGCATACATACCGAGTTTAACACGTGAAAATTGTGAAGTGTCGAATAAAAGTGTTTGTGTTCTTTAAGAGAGTGGACTGCTTGTCTATGTGGAATATGTATATATATATATAAAAGGATAAAGCTCTCGGCATTGATCAATCCCTGAGGGATGCGTCATGCATTTGACTTCATTAAGCACCGTTTGGAGGTGATTGAATACATATCTGGCCTTTACAATGAATCGCGGTGGTTTACCTATGTATAGAGCCAGTGCTGCTATCCTTCCAGACAAGTCTGGTACCAATTTGCCGACCCGGTTGGGATGGAAGGCTTGGTGGGTCAAAGGCGCGGGGATCGATTCCACGTGTGTGTTGCAGGGTGCTTCCGACCACTGCGCCCATGTAAATATATATTTCATATGTGCATATACCTCAGCATATATATATGTATACATATATTTTGAGAAGACAGCGGAGTGATTATTGATGCAATTCATCTGGAACCAAGGTGCTGGTTGGACCCATCCCGAACGCTGTCCTTCAATCCACATGGTAACGTCCTAGCTTGGCTATTTCCAAAATTGCAAGGAGAATCCACTATGCCAGCATTCTACGGTATTCACCATATGTCGAAACAATAATTCCGCCAGGTATACTTCTATGAATTGACTGGAAACGATTTGAAACATTAATGAGCTATAGGGCCAAAAAAGTGTTAATATGTGAGCAGTGCAATGTGGCGAAGACGAGGAGGGTCGCGGACGTCCTTCTGCCAAAGGCGACGACTAATTGAAGGCTTTGATGGAAGCAAATGCACTCACATCTGTAACTTGCAGATTGTGACTGTAACTGTAAGCGTCTTATCTGTTTCGGAGTATCAAAAGATAATTGCAAAATCGATGATCGTCAAATGAATGCCGTTCGAATTGAATGGAAATCAAAGAAAGCACAGTTTTGAGGTATCGTCAGCAGTTAGTTTTGCGCAGCCAGAGTAACCTATTTCTCGACCATATTGTGAGGCGCAGCGAGAAATGGATCCTATACAACAAAGAGCGGCAACCCGTTTCAGTGGTTGGACAGCGGTGAAGCTACACAGCACCTTCTGAAGCCAAAATTGCACCGAAGGATGTCACGCTGAGTGTTCACCAACCTGCCGCTGATTTCCTGGATCCGAACTAAGCGAAGCGAAAAAAAAGTCCAGGAAGTCGACGAAATGCGCCAGAAACTTTGAACTGTGGACCTGATATTCGTCAGCAGAAAGAGGCGAAGCATTCTTTGAGATAAGCTGCTGCCACGCGTTGCACGACTGGTGTTACAAATGTTGAACAAGTTTAGCTATAGCTTAGCTATGAAAGCTTAATTCATCCACCATATCTCTTTGAATTGTTTGGCTAACATAGAGATGTTAGATAAGTTTTATTCGGCTAAAATTTAAACGAGTTTGTCTTCACCAGAACCGATGATCCGAGTCGATGGTCCACAGTTGTTCGTTCGCTCGATTTGGTGCCTTCGTTTCTAGTTGAAATTTTTTCGGGAAAGCACCGGTCAAACGAAATAATCTCACCCAGCGGCGATCTTCCATAGTTTAGTAACAGCATTATTTCTCTAAATGCTACCTATTCTAATATCGACTGCTGCAGGATGGATTGTCGACATGAAAGGGATTCATCATCAGCTGAACTGTCCTTTATAAAAGAGCGCTGCCTGGGGATGTTACCTCATTCAAGTGGTATTCCATTGAAGTAGATTCGGCTCGATACGACTGCACAAAGACCGCATCGAAAAAGCGATGGTAAAACCAATGGTATACCACAATGGTAGACCATCGACTTGAATCATCGACTCTGAGGAATATGAAGATGTCGAAACGTTAGTCGAATAAAAGTTATATAACAACCTCGTTTAAGCTGAACAATTCGGAAACGTATTTTGATTATTCAGGTTAAGGTTAAGTGAATTTCGGTTTAGTAAAATCATACTATCTATTTTACTTGCAAGACCACTTGTCTACCTATTACCACTTGCTGAACCGCGTCGGTAAGTTTCTGTGCGAGAAATGGTTCAGGAACCAATCCGATGCCAAAGCGTCCTTCGCCCTTGAAGTTTAGGGTTTTAGGTTATTGGAATGCATAAATTTCCTTCTTGTTTACAAAAATATAAGATTTTGGCCGTTTTTCCTTTGCAATTTAGTTTTAAGGTTACCTAATATATATGCGTGTTTCTAAAGCATAATTCCTTTTCAGATCATACGGCGATGCACTCAGCGACATAATCCCATACATTGATGATATAAACTACAATTTATCAATTGGGGATCTTTCTAATGATCTAAAAGCGGAAAACCCTTGTATATATAACTCTGAGCCAACAAGTGGAAATGTGGTGGTGCAGGATGAGAAAAATAATACCTTCTCTGGATCGTCGTCATATACTACTAACAGTCGAAGATTTCTTAAGAACAGTAGCCACTGCGTTCTTTCCTCGACTTTCGTGCTTCACGTGTCTCCTATACCTGTCGTGAATTCAACTCTTAGAGCAAACGGTGATCAACCTCGGAAGGAAAAACAGGTTGGTGACATTCTGGTCTTTTACTGAAGAAAGGAAAGATTCATTCTGAGGCGTTACATAAAAGAGATCACAAGTCTTCCCTAGGAACAATCAGAGAATCTTGAGATTAAATGGCAAGCGGATTTAATGTTATCCTTCTATTTTGTTCAAAACAAGTTTTCCTTGTCATCAGTAAGCTTAATTGAATTAATTATGAAAAGAGGAAGAAAAGAAAAAGAAAAGAAAAAGGAAAGAAAGAAAAGGACCTAATCTCTCTGCGTAGTATCTATTAAGAATAAGCCGGCACAATTGCCACATGAAATGTTAGGAAAAAATTATCTGGCTTAGTTTAGTTTTCATGGCTGTTTTAAGAGAAATCAAGCTGGTTTAGATCCAAATTTCGTTTTTCCCTCTGAGTGGTAATTGCTACTCCTACTCTGGGTCTTCTGTATATTCTGTGGTTGCAAATTGCAATCCATCACAAATTTCAGCCAAACATAATAAGATAGGTCCCTACACATATTTCTGTAAAAGAAAACGAACTACTATACGCTTAACTTTACTCTATCATAATTTTTTTCGACCGTGTTTATATTGATTTGTTCTCCGATGAAGTAAATAAACGACATGAGTCTATTTTTAGTTGCAAAAAGATCCTTGTATCATGGATCAGCACGTTGGTCTGGGGAACAATGAGGATGTGTCATTCGCCGATTTCATACGGGTGCATAAAGGCCACCTCTGGAAAAGGTGCCAAAAAACATTTAGCTTCTATGTCTCACCTTTACATTCGAAATACAGAGTGATGAACGGATGGGGCAAGACGCGACCAACGCAACAACTTGTCAAGAAGGTGAACAAGCAAATACGTCGTGAGCACAAAGCTACCGTGACATTAGCAGTAGTTTTAGGTATCGGTTTGAGCTACTAATACTAATAATATTAATAGCAATAGTTCCCAGGATCGACTTTCTCTTAACCTCGGCATTGGAATATGAATGTGTCGTTTTCTTGTTCAGCAATCGCGAGGTTTTTAAACAGCATACATTTACTTCCATAAAAACACAATACAATACAACGCTAGCTGACGTTTCGGCAGTATCGCCTTCTTCAGAGCCGCTTTTTCGTGACTTCCAATGAGGAAGCTTAGAAGCTTGAACAAGAAAACGACACATTAATAGCAATGATAGGAGAACAGTGAAAAAACTCTGTTTCAACTACGTCAAGTTAACTAAATTAAACCTAAAGTTTTCAGTCAATTTTTTCATTTTATATTGCCGGACCTCACATATTTTACTGATCCCAGCATTTCTTTCATTTGATTCGTTGTCTCGCATTCCAATAGGTCTTCAGATCTGATCGCGGATTCGGTTGTTGCTGGACGATCTTTAACCTTCTTTGTGAATACCATCCAACCACAAAGAAGATGTTCCGAAATGTTCGTTACACATGTAAATCAACCATGCTAACAGCTGGAATCAACTGTCAGATCCTCAAATCGTATCGGAATCCATGCGTGAATACGACCAGCACCATGGATTACGAAGGAGCTAGAAAACGGCATGAATGGAAGAACTATTGGGACCTAAACGAGGACGAGCCATCTAAGTAGTTAAATTCTGTAGAGCTAATTTATGAGCTTCTTTCCATTTTTGACCACTGCACTACATTTAACTTTAGGTTTAATTTAGTTAACTTGACGCATCGATGGAAAATCTTAAACTATCACACGATTCGCATTTCATCTTTCAAAGAGTGTTATTTTAAGTTAGCGCACAATGTAAACTTGCACTCTTGGTGTTTTTGAGTAGTTAAGACGCTTTTTTATATCACCTAAGCAACGGCTTCGCATACATCAACGAGTTGCGGTTTTGTTACAACGCTTTGCTTTACTATATGAACATGTTAGAAAGTATTCCGCTAACACGAAATGTGAGAAGGAATACTTCATCAACCACTACTATTCACCATATAGCAAAGTTTTCTTTAATCGCTTTCGATGCTTTTTTTTCTCTCTAACCCCTTAGGGCTTTTTGTGGAGATAAATTCAGCTTCTCTTAAGGTTTTATTAGCCCTTATTTTTAATATGGAAAATCTAAGCTTACCATTGGAGCGGTGCAACCTGTTTGCTAATGTGCACATTTATATTAATTCAATAATGACATGGCGAACGGATGTATTAGAAAATAAAGTTTATGTTTATTTATACGTTCTTATGTACTGATCTTGTTGAGCTGACGCGAAGTTGGTGTAAGTTATCGTTTTCGCTGTTGTTGGTTTTAATAGTCGATGGCTCAGGTTTCGACGATTTAGCGTTCTTCAGAGCTGTGCTGTTAAAGTGTGATTCAGTGTCTCAGTCTTGAATTTCAGTCTCGCGTCTCAGTCTCGAGTCACACTTGTAACAGTTCAACTCTCAGGAAGATGAAATCGCCGTAACGGCAGCCGTCGACCCACAACGCCAGCAACAACAACAAGGACGGCAAGAACAACAGCAACAACGGCAACGAAAACTTGTACCAATCTCGCGTCAGCTCAACGATTAGTTCATAGAAACATGTAAAGAAACATATCAACTATTTATGCCGAGGTTCATAGAAAGTCAGTCTTTTGAGTAATTAAGTTTAGGTACAGAAACTCTGAAATAAACATAATAGCGGTTATTTAACGGTTAAGAGACGTTGGAATGAAAGCATAAGTGGTAAATAAAATTGGAACTGTGCATTCTGAAATCCCGATATCGATTTATGATCAGTTGCTACAAAAGACTTGGACATTGCCACTTCGGCTAATTTCAACTGTTGTTGCCGAATATTCAGTGTGATTTAAGATTACTGAAAGAGTGCTTGACACTTGAAGTATTTTTAGAGCCTAAAACTGCTCTTAGGCACGTTATTAGGCCATTATATTTGTTCGCAGTTTTTAGCTGACGGGTTATGTGCAGCAGTATTAGTGACGTTTTTTCTACACTTTTCAGTAAATAGCTGCAAAACATGTTTTGTTTAGCGAATCGCTGTAGGATAGAAGCACTAAAGTCTAGAGGTTTCAGCAGTTTTCTTATTCTGTTGGTTGCCATTTTTTACTCTGCACCTCATTAATTCTATTTGCCTTATCAATAAGCAGGAAGATGGATGTATGGGCGTGCTTCCTTTATTTCTTGCAACATGGCTGGGATAGTAAGTCACCTTCTATACAAGCATCTGCTAAACGTTCATTATAAATTTCGTACACAAATAAAAACGATAGTTAATATTTAAGCGCTTTAAAGGTTAAATTTACAGTATAAACTCGTCGTTAAATCCACTAATTTACACGGTGTTCGACCAACGCTTTCGCAATGCATTTCGAGCTATTCTCTGTCGTGGAATCGTCAGGAGGTGACCTTGTCGGCATAGCATCATTTCATTCGTATTTTTTCGAAATAAATGGTTTCTTTTGTTAATGTCTGCAACAAACAGAGACTGGGAAACATGGGAACTGAAGCCTTACACATGACCATAAGTTTTTACTAAAAGCCTTTTTAATTAATGGACAATTCCAAACGATACGAACTTTGTTACATGCTTGGATAGGGTAAAATCGCAGAAAGCTTCAAATTGAATTTCAAATTTTTTTCAACAAATTTCCCTATAGGTCTTTTCCGAGTATTGTGTGCAAAAGAGTCTCCATTGAAATGCATTTAGTTCCATGAGACAAGCAGATCGTGGACGTTGTCAGTGATCAACAATTAGTGTACCACTTCCCCCAAAGGTCAATACTAAATGCAACATTGGCAAGCTAGGGCAATAGCTCACACATAGGGTCTGTAGAAGCACCATATGTTTCTTGCAATTGATTGAGTATCCTCGTTAAAGTAAGCCCAGGTTTCTGGATGAGTTGAATTATATTCGCTCCATTGAAGCCAAATAAGCGAAGAAGATATTGATCACTGAAATTACTTACTTGATACTTGATACCTGAATGGCCCGTCCTCACTGGTTGTGCGGGCTCCAGCATAATCTCCGTTTTTCGAAAATTTGCTGGTGAAGCCATTGTGGTTCTCTGGAATCTCTAGGCCAGCCTGGCAAAACTATGCCCTAGGTCTTCACCAGCACAGGCAGTCGCAGTCCTTGTGAGTCAGGAGGAGATTTACCACCTTTGATACCAGGACGGTGGTGGATCCTGGTATTGGCTTACTCGTAGCTAGGCTTCCTGATGGAAACGCTGAACTCTTTCTCAGTTGGGAGAACCTGCCAGGAGGATGGATCCCCGCTGTACATCGCAGCTCGGCACCCCTGAATACCTCCGAGCCACGATAAGCCGTTGGGAGAATCATTGAGATTAAATGAAACAAATGTCGGCGTTCATAGTTTATAATAAAAACCATTAAAATCATTACCAATTATGCTACTTTGACGAACTGATAGATGCACTCGAGCTCATATTGTGCACAGTCTGCTATTATTTTCCTAGTTTAATACTTTACTTCCACAGTGAACATATATCATGCGATTGAATAGTTCAAAGCCTAAGCAATGAATTCACCGCATTTTTTTCGCAAAGGCTTTCTCGATGGCAAGAAATCAGCTTGTTGGTAGGACACGATGAATGTGCCACAAACCACGTGTGCATCAATGGAAAATACCTTCACTCTCGCGCTTGTGAAGTGGACGATATGCTATGAAAGAGCGGAATATCTCCGATGAAAGTGTAAACTACTTGAACATCTGCGATCGAAATATCTGGAATGAATGATTGTGGTGAATAAAGAGAGATATATTCTTCGTGAATCCCAAGTAGCCCTTTTCGTCCTTTCTCAAAGTTGGCCTTTAGTTTTTGGTCTTCGGCTGAAACATTGTGCATCATTTGTTGTCTACTACAAAGTGATTGAAACCTTGGCTCGAATATGCGAAACATGTCAACAACTGATATTACACAAATGGAGCTTTCCCGAGAAATCGCGGCATAAACGCAGGATCAGAGGTTGAGCGGCAGCAGTTTTGAAAACGCACAAGATCAAATGTAGCGAGTTCTCTACTCAAGGAAATCGCATAGCTACTGTTTTATGTGAACTATAAGACATAATGATGCTACCAATTACTCTTTTCACACCTATGTACGAAATTAATCCAATGTACATTGATGTGTTTTTACTGAAAGTTGTAGCTAACACCGAAAGCTCTTTACAGAACATGTATTCTTTCTTTGATGAGCTTACACGAGGTTGATAATGATATTTATTTTCGGCTAGCGTTTCGACGTCTTCATCTTTCTCAGAGCCGATGATCCGAGTCGATGGTCCTCGCTTGTTATTCGTCTCGACGTGGCAGCTTCGCCTTCGTGTGGAGTCAGGTCTTCTTCAGTGAGCCATCTCCTCGAATGAAGCATCCTTACTCAGTGATGCACTTTTATACACGATACATGATATTGATTAGTGATACCGAGGTTTAGGGAAAGTCGGTTTCGAAATATTACTGCGCTTTGTGCTAGCTGATAATAACACCGACTTCTGCACGATGTGCGCAATGATGTATGTCCGGAAGAAAAACAAGTTGTTATCACCGGACGTTATCATTATATGGGCCATCAGCATCGTGTATAAAAGTGCATCACTGAGTAAGGATGCCTCATTCGAGGAGATGGCTCACTGAAGAAAACCTAACTCGACACGAAGGCGAAGCTGCCACGTCGAGGCGAATAACAAGCGAGGACCATCGACTCGGATCATCGGCTTTGAGGAAGACGAAGACGTCGAAACGTTAGCCGAAAATAAACATCATTATCAACCTCGTGTAAGCTCATCAAAGAAAGAATACATATTGATTAGTGATACCGAGGTTCAGGAAAAGTCGATTTCGAAATATCTTTACAGAACCATAAAATAACTTCACAGACACAAAAATTGGATACATTCGGCAACTGGTTAGGTAAATTATGGAGCGTGTATTCTACAGAATCCTAAAACAGATGGGAATCAAGTAGGAGAAGTTGGAGTTCTTAGCTTCCACAACGACGTGCTACACTTGATTAAAGTTAACAGCTGAATCGCCACAGATAATGTTATTCCAGTTTGCTCAATCTGAGAAATTGAATCAGGTACTTCATTAAGTGTGGTAGCCGAATCGTCAAATATATCATCGACATCTATCACTTTGGGCCACTTCATATTACAACCGCTTTGGTGCTTGAATAACACGAAAAGCGACGCTTTTCAAAATTGATAATTTTGCCATGCTGTAAGAGACGAACAGATTTTTGATGGATGTTGAGATCTTTTTGGCATACGCTCCGCCCAAACCAGTAATCGCTGTTACTCCTGCGCGCAAGGTCTTCTCATGTGGCGTATCGTAATACTGCTTCTTACAGTGCAAAACTCAGAGGCTGGTTAGTTACATTTGCGCAATTGATACTAAATTCCTTTAGTCACCTCTACCTAGCCTTAGTGGTGGAATGTCAATGAGCAACAATTTTAATTCAGAGAACAATTTAGTGTAATTTCTTACAAGCAGGCATATTGAATTGGTGAAACCCCTATTATTCGTCCCATTAGAGAAAGTGGAAGATTGTGTTCTTTAACTGTATTAGCTAATATCTGTTGTAATAAATCAACAAATTGTTATTCTCTTAAAATGATGGATACTGAAAATTAAAATAGCGAGAGACTAACACATGTTCATCTAGTATCCGCATTACATCATAGACACCGAGGAAAAAAGTTTTTTATTCTTGTATGCGATTATTCAGGTCGTACTAGCATGTCTAAAGAAGGAAAGCCTTCCAAAGTAGAAGAAATCTGTGCACGAATGCACAATAACACTGCTATGGAAGGCGCTGATCCGATAGGAATACTGCAGGTTTACTTGTTACTGTTACCTCTGTGTGAAATAGCTAACAGGAAAAGCCAGTGGGGTGATGAAAACGGCTGTTTTAAGTTAAGCATTTAAAAGCATATGGAAACTGCCTGTATGAGTAAAATTTCGATAAGCAGCTTTTTCGCTTTTTCCATTTGTAGGTGGATGCAGGGGACTGTCAGAAGGCATGCGTTGATATGTATCCATCGTGTTCGGCAGGTAGGAGCACTTTACAGCATTAACGAAATCTGAGCGCTTTTGTGACGCTTAATAAAATCTCCTCTCACGTTTGGTTCAATATCTGTGACTGTAGATATAGCATCAATTTTTACCAGATTTAAAGCTTTGTGAACTATTAACATCGCAACGGTTTAACGGTTTACCGCTTCATTGTGGCTGGGAAGTGTTTCTGGGTGTCGGACTGTTATGTACAGCGGAAGATTCATCCTCCTGGCAGGGTCTCCTAGCTAATATGGAGTCCGGCATTTCCATCAAGAAGCCTAGATAAGAGTACACCAATACCAGGATCCACCACCGTCCTGGTATCAAAGTCGCATGGTGGTGAATCTCCTTCGGATCCACACAGGCTGCTGCTGCCTCTGGTGGTGAAGACCTGGGCAGACCCATGCTGACCTCGGGATTCCATGGCTTAACCCTCAAATTTCTGAAAAATAGAGATTATGCTAAAGCCCGCACAACCAGTGAAAACGGGCCATTTAGGCGACAAGTATCAAGTATCGAATAAACTATTAAAGTGGTGCCGAGGTCGTATATAATACACTCACTTTCGTTGCTAGAACTGGTCATACAAACGCGGTCGCTGACTTTCCAGTGGAAGAAAGCTGGTTGTGATTGTGTTCACGGGAGTGTTGTTGGCAACATTTTCTCTTTTTTGAAGAAATCCTAAGTGGCGAGTTATAAGAATCTCACCGCGACTCGAACCAATGCCACGTTGGAGGTGGTGCGAGTTGCACATGAAGTTCTCTGGCAGAAGCCCGCTTTAGCAATGCAAGGGAAATAAATTTTTCTCTACAAATTCTCAATTATTAATACCATCTCATGATAATTATTAGTAAATTACAATGTATCACTGTTTGCACTGGTTTCGCTCTTAATACCTCTTTTTCACTTTTAAATAGAATTATCAACACGCATCCTTTCTCGTGGAATTTGAGTACGACGTTAAGCTGTCGTCGCTTATACGTGCCTCATCAAGAAGTGAGAGAGGAAGTGATAAAGAAGACCGTCACAGGAGATTTCGCTAGATTTCTTTCATCACAATGGCGTTTACTCAACTCAACAGTTTTTTTTCGGTTGTCTTTTTTGTATAGAACATTTAAATCTGTTACTCAAAAAGCGTCTAGGGTGATGAAGTGACATGTTAGTGGTTGTACACTAGCCAGATTGCCATTTTCTGATGCAGTTGAACAACATTTGGAAAATTGAAGAATACATGTTTTACGAGAGATGACTGTTTCTTTTCAACTTTCTATTTTAAATGCGCATACCTTAGTTAGCCGGAGATTTGAAAAGCCCAAAAAAAAAAAACAA